TAAGGGCACGTACCTTGGTTGCAGTTTGTCCCCGGCCCTGGTTGGGTCATGTGGGTGGCAGCCACTCGATGTGTCCCTTTCACGTCGATGCTTCTCTCTCTCTCTCTCTTCCTCCTGCTCTATCTGAACAAAAAATGAAAAAATGTCCTCGGGTGAGGGAAAAAAAAAAAAAAGTAGTAACTTGTACAACTCCTCTAAACAGATATTCTAGATAGTTTTGTAAGGAGGCTCCTAACCCACAGCATAGAAACCACATAAGCTGTAACTATAAGTAAAGCATATTGTAGCCATTGTTACTCCTGCCAATCTAACCTAAATTTAATAGCAAAGGGAATGGTGAGGATTTGAACCTGAAATATATACCAGGAGAGGATCCAACTAGCTAAAGGTTAAATCGATTGCCCTAAAAAAACTGTAGCAGAATATTTAGTGTCAGGTCTATTTTCTCATTTTATTAATTTTCTTTTTTTCCCTTAAACTGCTCTAGTCTTTTCTAAATTCAATTCTCAAAAAAATGAGTAATATTTTCATAAGGTTATTTCCTTTTTATCCTTCATTAGTGCTAAAATACATATACACAACTGGCACTCAGCCTGGAATAATGGATATGTTCTGAAGTCAGCCAAGGGTGCTTGTTCTAGTCTAAACATCTACAGTCAGACAGCAAACCAGTATTCTAAGATCAGCATTGACAGGAATCTTTCCCATATACTAGAGAACTATTGTCCCACTCCATTTCACTGAAATAAATGCATCCTATTCATAAGTTCATTGCATTCATTGAATAGAAAAAGCTGTAACTCAAATGTAAACCAAAGTAATTTAACTATTAGCAGCAATTTTGCCTTTATCTATGGTACAAACTATAGACTAGCACTGTGTTTTACAGCTTTCTAAACCTATACTTATGTACAAAAAAAGTACAAAAATAACCAATAACCAATAGACTATTACATGTATGAAATGTTAAATAAACTACATTTCAAAAATCTACTTTACAGAATAATTTTAAAAATTCTAGAAATTTACCACTTCATAGAAATGATTAGACTAAAGAGAGTAGAGCTTGCATACTATTTATAATTCAAATGTTAAAAATTGTCCTGGCTGGTTTGGCTCGGCGGTTAGAGCTTCGGCCTGTATACCAGAGTCACAGGTTCGATTGCAGTCAAAGCCATGTACTTCAATTGCAGTTCATCCCCAGCCCTGGTCAGGGTCATGTGGGAGGCAACCAGTAGATGTTTCTTTCTCTCTCTCTTTCTTTCTCTCTCTCTCTCTCTCTCTCTCTCCCTCCTTCCCTCCCTCCCACTCTATCTGAAGATAAACAGAAAAATGTCCTCGAGTGAGGATAAAAAAAAATGTTAAAGTTATTTTGTTAAAATTTACTTTTGAAATCACATAGGTACAGTATTAAATTCTGAATTATTCTACTAGGTCTGTTGAAAAGTCAACATCACTATTTGCTTTTTTTTTTTTTTTAATTCAAAAGGTAGTTTCTACTTCTTACTTTCAGCAAGTCCTGAAAATAAACCAATTTACACAAAATAATATTCCATTAGAGAGAATTGTTTTATATATAAATTGACAAAAAGGGAAGCTTTTCTAAGTTTTGTACCTGAAGGCCTAAGATCTAAACCACTATTAAGGCATACTACCAAAGTATTCTTTAAAAGAACCATGAACTGTTCCCTTAAAATAAGTCTAATATAAAAGTAACAAATACAAATTTGAACACTAGAGTTATGGTAGCAAGAAACTTCACTCCTTAAAATGCAATGTTAGAGCACCCTCTGCTGACTAATCAACTCAAATCACTCTTTTAAAAAAAAGAGATACTTACATCTGGGTTAGATCAGCCCTTCCCTTTCCCAGGTAATTTTAAAAAGTTAAAGGACTGTAGAGGATAAAGCACTAATCAAATAAAACCTCCTTGGAATCACTCTACAAATCAATAATATATTAAGCATTCATTATGTGTATTACACTGCTCTTAAATGGTTTTCTATTCTAATATGGACAAATTAACATAAGCAATTAGAAAGAAAATATAGAATTGGGGAAAACAACAAATGACAAATAGAATATCAGCAGGTGTGGTGGAAAAAGCCCTGAACTAAGACTCTCGAAGTCTGGTCCTACTTGCTTATCTGAACAAGTTATTTTATTTATTTTAGCCTTGGTTTTCTCAATAAAAGATGCTAATTTAGAGTCATCCATTCCTTGATCAATGACTTAAAACCTCTTACATGCTACAGCTTAAGGTACAAAGCCCCAGCTTAAGCATCCCAGGCAGATATTTAAACAATTATAATAACAATAAATATAAATAGGAAAAAGCATATCAATACATGCACTTTCTTTCTTTAAATAAACTGTCTCAACTGTTGTCTGATTTCCTTTCTCAGTGGAATTTATTTAAAACTCCAAAGAATCAAGTGTAAGACAGATGTTATCATCCTACTCAAAATAATGCTCCTCTACTCTTGTCTCAAAAGCCCAAGTCCTACAACGCTTCAGTGGTAGCTGCCAAAATGATTATCCTATCCTATCAGGCTACAAATTAATTAAATACCAGGAAGATAATTATTTTAACATAGCAGAACATTGCTATTATTGGGAGCAAAGAAAGAAAAGATCAAGATTTAGCTCAGAGGTCCTGGATTACACTCATGCCTCCGGAAGTTATTCATTCCTTATATATGGAGTACCTAGCAATACTAAAGGAAAGTTGTACCCAAAGCCATTAAATACAGTAAGTTTATATTGAGACATAACTATGCAAGTGATACTATGTATAAAAAGTTAACACCCAAAAGCTAAAATAAACAAAGATCTGTGAACAAATCACTCTCATATAAGCTCTTTAAAAGGGAAAATAATTTCACTCTTTAATAAAAGACATTCCAAGGGATAAATACTGACAAAGTAGGAATATGAAATATGTAAGCCAAAAATATTACTATGTAGTAAAAGGGATATATGGGTCCAAACATTATTTATTGATACCATATGTAGACTACAAACCTACAGAAAACAAACCGTATCAAATACAAAAATAACCTGCACACAGGACAAATTAAAACAGCAGCTAAAGGATGATAACTTAATCATTTACAATAAAAGCTAAATTGAGGTTTCTCATCTTTTCTAGAGTTTCTCAACTGGGGGTGTTTTTGCACCCCACACAAAACATCATAACTAGAGGGAACGTTTACTGGTGCTAGTGGGTAGAGGCCAGGGCTACCACTAAAAATCCTACGATGTATAGGGTGGCCCCCCCACAGTAAAGAATTATCCAGGTCAAAGTGTCAATAGGAGCCTTGTTGGGAAACCCTGCTTTACAATGGTAAAATAGCAAAGCCTGGTGTCAGTCCCACAGATTCTTACAACAATCTATAACAAATACACATAAATCAATAATTACAATATCCAACTATAATATAGATAGATCTGTCAAGAATATAGATAGCTATGTCCTGTTACTACTGACTCACAATCTTTCCCCCCTCCTTCCTTTCCTACTACTCTCATCTTTGCTCCTCTTTATACTTATTTTAAGCCACCTTCCCATTCCAAATCCTCCAATTCCTTTGAAAAATAAAAAGATACAGAAAAACACTAACTTATCTATTTTTACTGAGGTCTAGAACTAAACAAAAACCATGAGTATGACATGACCATGAAGCTCAGTATTCTATTTGTTTTAATCCTCACCTGAGGATATGTTTCCACTGATTTTAGAGAGAGAGGGAAAGATAAAGAGAGGCAGGGAGGAAAAGGAGGAAAGAAGGGGAGGAGGGGGAAGGGGAGGGGGAGAGAGAGAAACATGCATCAGTTGCCTCCCATAGGTGCCTCAACCAGCAATCGAACACACAACCCGGGTATGTGTCCTGACCAGGAATCAAACCCAAGTCCCTTCAGTGCACAGGATGATGTTCCAATCAACTGAGCCACACTGGTCAGGGCAAGCTCAGTGTTGTTTTGATTAAAAAATTTAAAGAGAACTTTGTCATCCCTTCCCAGAACTACCTCAAAAGAGTATAGATGTGACCCATAACAATATGAAATATCATCCTGTATATTTCTATACCATCATGAAAAGTTTACTCATTCATCAGCACAAGGTGAGTTCCAAAAGTTCACTCATTTCTAAATAATCCTTGGATTCAGCCACACTTTATTAAACACCTACTACTAGTTTTCTTTAAGTCTCTTTTAAAACTCATTTTAATATTCCCAGATTCAGAGAGCAAATCCATTTTAACCTATTTCTAGTCTTCATATTTCATTTAAATTTTGAGTCAGTCTGTATCCATTTGGCAGAATTTCAACAATTATAACCATTTTTTCAGATTCTTTTCTCTGTAATTTCTTCAGTTTCATTAAATACTTTTGGAAGCACAACAAATAAAACTCCCAATAATAAAGTACAAAGTATATCAGCTGTATATGGATAAACCCAAATTTAGGGTTTATTTTCAATACAGTTCTTAAAAATAATATATCAAAATTTTTCACATAAAAAGGAAGTCAATATATTTTAAACACTAAACCAAGGCTAGATAAGATGTGCTTACGCACAGTGACCAACTAAATGTGGCCATAACTTTGAAAGATGACACTGAAGGTACAATCGTGTGTGCATAAAGATCTGTCAAGTTTCTGGAGAGAGAAACAAAATTGAATAGTGTCACAGTGACTTATTTATAAAGTGGTTTTAAATATATCTGCAAATAAACAACACCTAAACAAATATATTATTATGCCATATAAAAATCTATTGAAAATATACAAATCTGTCCAGTCTCCCATGCATCCAAATGGAAGGCAGAAATATTTTCAATCAAATAATCTAACAATAGTTTAAAATTTACTCTATTATATGAGCTAGACCAATGATTTCTTTCTTTATAGAACTTAAATAAAAAATTCTTTCAGGGCACTATACCTTCTTAAGGTTAACATACTCAATGCTTAGTAATACAGAAAAATGCACTCACCATTTCAGTGGTGTACCTTCATGTTCAAACCATATCTCACTAATGTCTTCTTGTCTCATAACCTTCTGAAAGTGCTTTTTCACTTTGTCAGTTACCAACGTCAAATAACTTACTCTTGGCAAAAGCAACTGAAATGAAAATGTGTAAAACCAAATTTATTTATTATTTAAAAATATGTGTATTACTCCCTAAATAGATTTTTGAATTTTAAGATAAAACAATCATGTTCTTTGCATTATTCTGAATATTCCACACAAAGTCAACTGTTTTTTATAACATATCAAAGGCTAAAGGTTAAGATGTTTTAAAATTTCTTATGAGATCATTACTTTAAATACAACTTATAGCATAAATGCCTAGAATAAGCAACACAAATCTAAGTACACTTTCCATAATTTTCTCCAAATAAAGGAACAATGTAACCAAACGTCATACTATTTAGATACTTAGTATTTCTATCAAATTTAACTTAAAACATATGAATCACTCGAGTTAATTATTAAACTGTTCTGAGAGGATAATCAACTCAGTTCTAATGTATATCTTGATTGACCAATCAGGACTTCTCAATTGGTTTCTCATGTTTTGATAATCTACCATGTATTAGATTAGTTGCAATGCAGAATGTAAAGACAAAAACATGATCTGTCCTCCTCAATATGAGGCTAAAATAAAGGTTTAAAAAATGAATATAAGTGCTTAAAAATATTCATGGCAGCAACAGATCTTTAAAAGTCAAACAGGCCCTGGCCAGTTTGGTTCAGTGTTTAGAGTGTCGACCTGCGGACCAAAGAGTCATGGGTATCATTCCGGTCAAGGCTCGATTGTAGTTTGGTCCCCAGCCCTGGTCTGGGTTGTGCAGGAGGCAACCAATCAATGTGTCTCTCTCACATTAATATTTCTCTCTCTCTCTTCCTCCCTCCCTCCCATTCTATCTAAAGATAAATGGAAAAATGTCCTCGGATGAGGAGTTAAAAAAATAAAAAAATAAAAGTCAAACAGAAATTTTCATCTGATGAACAAGGATACCATGAATAAAAGAATGGCATGAAGAGAAACAGTATGTGAGGAACGTTTCAGCAGCTGGTCATAAAAGATTGTAAGATTACAGACAAGAAATCTGTTAAGGAAATATTATATGAGGAGACTGGGATCAAGAAATGGAAAAGTGTGGAAGGTCTGGAGATCTGTCAACAGATTTTGGTAATTACTAATGAAGAAATCAAAGAGAGATGTTTAAAATGACTGGATTTTGAGCTATACATGTAAATCTTTAAAGTGCAATAAAGCATAAGCTTAAGGTTTAATGCTAGTAGACCGGTGATCCTGCCACTGTCAATTAACTTCCTCAACCTGTCCTTATAGAAGCTGGGCCTGGACTTTGGAGAGAGAAATCTGGGAGGGAATGTTGGGCTACGTAAAGCCTCAACTGCATTAATGTGAAAGCTGTCATTGGTTTCCCCCAGGAAAGTTACTCAGAACATAAGATCGCAGATAAAAGGAGAAAACTGGTGAGAACTCATGTCTTTTCCTCCTTCGCAGTAGTCACTCTAGCCATTCTTGCTTTCTTAAGTTTTTTCTTTTGCTGGTAAAACTGTTTTGGTGTTCTCTTTCAGCTGCTTTTGTGCATCTAACTCTGCATCATTTCTCATGCTGCTTTTTCAATGTATGTCTTCTGATCAGTGAATCTAGTAAAATTACTAGGCTGGGGAATATATACAAAGAGAAATATTATGGTTAAAGGAAATGATATTTAATCACTAAAGCTCAAGATAACAGGCTCCAAGTAGGAAAGAGAACAAAACAGTGATCCTAGGGGCTACAGAGTACGAGAGTGTGGCAGACATGCTCCAACATGGAACATACATTACTAATATTATGAACAAACTGTCAGATAATATTGTGCAGTCAACAGAATATAGGGTGCTCTTTTATAAAGAAACAACTAAAATGTGATTAGGAAGGAAAAGAAAAAAGGAACTAATGCTAGTATAAGAAAAAGCACTAGTTGTTTTGTAGGAAATACTATCACTTGTATTTTATATACAGCTTAAATAACTTTCCAAAATCATATTCTATTACATAAATGGCAAAGAAAAGATTCCTTTGAGTCAGAAACAACAGCATCAAATACAAACATAACATGGACAGTTTCTCAGAAGTTAAAACAGCATGGTAAATTAGCTTTTAAAAAATAAATACATATAATCTATCAGTCAAGTAAATTCTATATTATGAGCCTAGAACTTTAACTTAAAATGTCTGTTGGGCATTTAATCATCATCATCGGTTCTGCAGACAATGATATTAACCTTTAACCTACAGAGATTGTAAGAAGAAAGACACATTAGGACTAATGAGTATGGACATCAGCTCTTGTTTTTGGAGAGTATTATACTACGTGCCTAGGGTTTGATCACAGCAGCTGAAAAATTCACAAATGATTTTCACAAAACAAAAACTTCTTTACAATAAGGAAATGAGGAACATTAGAAGGTAAGCTCCATTAAGACAGGAGTATTTGTGTTTTGTTCACTGCTACATTCCCAGTGCCTCCTCAAATTATGGCAGGCACACAACAAATACTTGCTGAATGAATCAGAGATGCCAATGGTTCAAGTGGGGCAAAAGGCCAAAAACAATAACTAATAAAGAATGCCCCTCCTTCAGACAGAATCTACAGTGAAATGTAGTTGGAATCTTCTGTTCCAAATTGGCCTATGGGAGTAATTTGTAACTGTTATAAATATCTATAGTAACTCTGAGAAGTCAGATACAATTTATCTAATAAATTTTAAATAGGTAAAGTATCTCATAAATATGTAAATAGGCAAAAATGAAAAGAAAATAAGAAGAAGAAAACATCATTCTGCCTTATACATCCTGGTTGTACCAGTCGTTTTTCTTAAATGTATCTCATTGGTTCACTTTAAGTTCTTTTTTTTAATCCTGATAAATTATACCTAGCATAAAATTTACCCTTTTAACCATTTTTTAAGTGTATAGTCAGTGGCATCCATCAACACTATCCATCTCCAGAGCTTTTCATCATCTCAAACTCAAATTCTATACCTATTAAACAATAATTCCCCCATTTTTCTCGTCCCCTGGCCCTAGGTAATCACTTTTTTACTTTCTGTCTTTTAAACTACTCTAGATACCTCATATAAATGGATCATAAATATCTGTCCTTTTGTGCCTGGTTTATTTCATTTCCATTAATGTCTTCAAGATTCTTTAAGTTCTTTTAATATGAAAAGGATTAAGCCCCCTCAGTGTTCTCTTATTGCTCACTCAGCACTGTCAAGTACTCAGTGAGTGTGACACAAGTGACTCCTTGTCTTCTATATAGCTTGTAAGGAATACATGTTTTATATAGTTGTATAATCTACCATGTTTCAGAAAAAGGTGTCTGTAATATTACTTGTTCATGCTAAATCCTATTTTGTTTAACAATTTTCAATTATAAAATTAAAGATTTACTTATTTATAACAAAACTAGAATTAAAATCTACTAGAATTATGTTCCATTTCAATGTGTGAGGCATCATACCAAGCAATAAGGATAGAGCACTGAATGAAACAGAAAGTTCTTCCTCTCATAAAACTTACAGGCTAGAAGGGAAGACAGACAGTAAAAACAAAATTATAAATGTGATTAATTCAAGGAGGAAGTAAAGAATGTTATAAGAACAAGTAGCAAAGGAATTTAACCTAATCTAGGGGCTCAGGAAAGGCCTTGATAGGAAGTCTGTTTTGAGGCAACAGCCAAAAGGCAAACAAGAGTAAACCAAACATGGCGGGGGTGGGGGTGGGGGGGGTGTTGAGTATGAGTTGGGATGAGAGATACTGCTGCTAACTCATTCCAGACAGAGGAAACTGGAAGAAGGCATGGAGTGAATAAAAAAGATAGACTGGCACATTTGAGGAACTATAAGAAGTTGAGTATGACAGGAGTGTGGAGGGTTGGGACAGAACAGTACTAAAGAAGCAAGGGACCAAATTATGAAGAACCTACATCAAGGATCCTAAAAGATGACGAAAAGCCACGAAAGGTATTAAACAGGTAGGTGGCAAAATCAGATGTGTTTTTTGAAAAGATTACACAAACTGCAGACTGGAAAATGGAAAGAGGACAAGACTACCAGGAAAATTAGTACTATGCAATCCATCAGTTTTAAAAAAAATGTTTTTTTCTTTATTGATTTTAGAGAGAGAGGAAGAGAGGGAAAGAGAGAGAGAGAAACATCGATGGGAGAGAACATCGACTGGCTGCCTCCTGCATGCCCCCAACTGGGGATTGGGCCCACAACCTGGGCATGTGCCCTGCCCGGGAATTGAACCAACGACCTCTTGGTGCATGGGTCAATGCTCAACCACTGAGCCACACCGGCCAGGCACAATCCATCAGTGTTTAAACAGTGGTTTGAAGTAGGCTGGCAGCAGTGGGTATGAAAGGGATTAGTAAATCTGAGATATTTCAGATGTAAATCAGATGGACTAATTTAGTGACCAAATATCAGGGATATGGGAGAAGGAAGCATCAAAGGATGAATCCCATGTTAATCACTAGTAGGAGTAATTAACTAGTCAGATGATAGGTCTGCTTGCCAAAATAGGAAGGAAATATGGCAGATGACCAGGTTGTTGTGGGTAAAAGATGAGTCCACTTTCAAACACACTCAGTTTGAATTCCTTCAAGATATCTAAGTGAGGATATCCACCAGACAGACAGTAAAATCTTGGGAGTTGTTAAGACAAAAATACTCAAGACATAAAAGTAGATTAAGAGGTATAGGGGGAAAAGCAAAGTGAAAAATAATAAAGATAAAGCTCCTAGAATGCCAACACTGAGGAACAAGCAGAGGGAAACCTAGCAAAGAAGACCACAAAAAAGCCCAGAAAGGTAGAAGCAAAACCAGGAATATAAGACAAGAGAGAACAGTACTGTACCACAAAATGGAGAACACTGTCAACAATTCATTCAAGAAAATGAAAATTCAAAAACTCGAGCCCTGGTCCGTGTGGCTCAGATGGTTGAAAGCTGTCCTGTGCACCTAGCGGGTGCTAGTTCAATTCCTGCTTAGGGCACACACCTGGGATTCGGGCTCCATCCCCAGTAGGGGGCGTGCAGGAGGCAGCCAATCAATGTTTCTCTCTCATCAATGTTTTTCTCTCTCTCACACCCTCTTCCTTTCTCTCTAAAATCAATAAAAAATATATATATAAAAACCAAACTAGGTTTGGCACAAAAGGTGTCATTAGTGATTTTGGCAAGAATAGTTCTACTATAGTAGTGAAAATGTGATTACAGTGAAGTGGTGGGAGGTGAGGAGACAATAAATATAGACAACCTTTTTAAAGTTTGGCTGTGAAGGGAAATCAAGAGGTTGAAAGACAGATGAGTCAACAGAGGGTTGTTTTAGAATAGGAAAGATTTAAAACAATATAAATGCTGTAAAGAAGAAGCCTGTAGATAGAAGTTGAAAGTAAAATAAACAGAGAAGCCAGCAGTGGGGACGGAAGAATCTCAGAAACCACCAGCTTTCTAAGAAGGCAGGAGATGGATCCAGAACACAGATGCAAGACTGGACCTTGCCTAGGAGGAAGGATACCTCTTCCAGTAACAGGAGAAAAGGTGAAATAAACATGTGTGAGTGCAAATAGGACTTGCAGACTTGATGGCAGAAAATTAAAGGAGGTCCTATCACATGGTTTCTATTTTGTTTGTGAAGTAGGAAATGAGGTCACTATTAAGGGTGAAAGTTGAGATCAGGGCTTAGAGAATAGTTATAATGGAGAAGAACAGAGACACCTGACTAAGGAAAGATAAAAGGACTCAGAATGATGCCATGTGTCTGACTGTGTGATTTCTTCTGGTAAAAGTCACAAAATATGAATCCAAATTAGTATGTTTTTACCTTAGATTATCTAAATGAAAAGCAACAGTTTAAATGAATACAACTGAAAAAAGAAAAACTGAAAAGCTGCCTAGTTTCTAACAAACTTTCTTCCTAACATTCTCGGCAAGACAGAATATAATTCTTAATGATAGGATGACCATAAGCTGAAAGATTTATGGGAAGACAACAAATCAAAATGCAGAAATAAGAAATTAACACTAATATGCTTTTCCAATGGAAACAGAAGACTATGAATAATAATTATTTAATTTGTAGATTTGGTATGAATGGGCATTTTAAATTAAATCTACTTTCTAAGAAATAAGCAAAAAGCATTATAAAAGTAAACTATATTCCAACTCCCCTATCCTTATTGCACGTGAACATAAACATAATACTTTTCTTTTTTAAATCCTCACCTGAGGACATTTTTCCATTTTTTGTTCAGATAGAGTAGGAGGGAGAGAAAGGAAGAGAGAGAGAAACCAACTAGAGCCAGGGACAAACTGCAACCCTGAGGTATGCGCCCCTAGCAGGAACCAAACCCAGGTCTCTCTGGACCGAAGGCCGGAGCTCCGACCACTGAGCAAAACCGGCCAGAGCCATAAGCATACTTTTCAAGTCATGGCGACAACCCTGAGCTTTGAGAATGTCTGGGAAAGAGGTACACCAGTTCTCAGGCCATATTTTTACCTCAGTTCATTCAGAATCTTTAAACCATTATCATTATAAACCAAAGCAATTCAAGGTACTTTCAAGCTTAATTTACATATCCAGACACATGTGAACTAAAACCATGTGGGCACTAAAATGCTCACCTATAATTGTAAGACTAACCACTAATGTTTTTGTATATTTTCTTCCTGTATCTATCAACTTACACACTTAAGTATATGTACACTTAAAGAGCAAAATCTGGATTGTGCTACATAATGTTAAACCCTAGTTTTTAAAAATATGTAATATTAAATAATAGGACCCAATACTCTTCAAAAATATAATCATAATGACTCAAAGTTTCTTTTGGATGAAAAATTAGGAAGAATTTTTTAAAAATTACCTATTAGATAAAACAATCCTCTTCCTCTTACCTTTTGTCACTTTGAATTCGATCAGAAATACTAGAAAACAACTTACATTCTAGTTCTCACAACTGTTCTCGCAACAGTCTTTTCATACTTAAACAGATTTACATATAAAGAATACTGCATTCTTTTCTTGAAATTTTTAACTGCAGTGTGTCAAACATTGTACTGATTCAAAAGTAAACAGACTTAAATTATATATTTCTCAGTTTTTGCCACTTTGACCAACTAGACACATATATTCCTTTGTGTATATACTATTAGAAAGCTACCCAAGGTTAAAAGTTTTCATTAAAATAAAAAATTCTAGTTTGCAAACAAAACATAAATGATATCCATATTATTAAAGAATTAGAAGAAAAATACATCTAACAAATAAAATTCTTCTAAAAACAAACTATGGCTATATTTTGTTTTTTTGTTTTGTTTTGTTTTATCCTCCCCCGAGGACATTTTTTGATATTTTGTTCAGATAGAGTGGGAGGGAGAGAGAGAGAGAGAGAGAGAGAGAGAGAGAGAGAAACGTCAATGTGAAAGGGACACATCGAGTGGTCACCATCCACACGACCCAACCAGGGCCGGGGACACACTGCAACCGAGGTACGTGCCCATAGCAGGAACTGAACCCGGGTCTCTCCAGACCGCAGGCCGATGCTCTAATCGCTGAGCCAAACCAACCAGAGCTATATTTTGTTTTTACGTAAGTTTTTCTAAAAGCAGAAAAGGAAACTGGTGAGATTTCCAGCAGTCTGACTTGCCACAGCTGGAACAGGCTCAGGAGCAATACTGCCTTCCAAACAGGCAAGGGAGACAGCAAAGGGAAAGCTTTATTAAGGTAAAACAAGAAATAGTCCAGAACCACCTGGCTGGTGTGGCTCAGTGGTTGAATGTCAACCCATGCACCAAGAGGTCACTGTTTTGATTCCCAGTCAGGGCACATGCCCAGGTTATGGGCCACATCCCCATTGGGGGGCATGCAGGAGGCAGCCAATCAATGTTCTCTCTCATCGATGTTTCTATCTCTCCCTCCCTCTCCCTTCTTCTCTCTCTAAAATCAACTTAAAACAAAACAAAACAGAAATAGTCTAGAACCACAAATACATTTCCCACTTTTCCAGATCCCCCTGGGTGAACGATATTATGTATACCTGAAATAGGAAAAGAAAAAACTCAAATAATGACAACCAAGAATGTCAATGTCTATTAGGGGCTATTCAGGAAACAGGCGGGATACTATTATTTCTGACAGATGTTTAAGTTCTGATTATATGGGCACTCAGAAAAAAAACAAAAAAAAAAACAGGCTAAATTCAGAAGATATTTGACATTCTTCATAATTTTTGTTTTCTTTATTGATTTTAGAGAGAGAGAAAAGGAGAGGGAGAGACAGAAACATCGATGAGAGAGAACATGGATTGGCCGCCTCCTGCATGCCCCACACTGCAGATCAGGCCCACAACCTGGGCATGTGCCCTGACCGGGAATTGAACTGGTGACCTCTTGGTGTATGGGTCGATGCTGAACCACTGAGCCACACCAGCTGAGCTGACATTCTTTTATAGAAAAGATAATATACTAACTCAAACCACAAGTCTATATACAATAATTTATATTATTAACTCAAACCACAAGTCTATATACAACAATTTGTTATTAAATAATATATTTTACATATTAGCTCATCAACATATGAAATCACATACATATGTTCGTATGTTCACTGAGCTATAATAAATTGTCAAATAGTTGCTTAGAACAACCTAAAGACAAAAAATCAAATCTGAACATATTATTTTCAAAATAGCTTCCTATAAAAAAACAGCAAATTATGACTCCATCATTATATCTAAGCATATGTGCATAAAAAAAGAAAGTCAAAAAGGTCTCATATCAAATATCAACAGTGGTTTTTCCCTTTGTGTGACAAGACTAGGGTAATTTTAATTTCATTCTTTTTGCTGATCTGTTTTCTAATTTTCCATAATAATCATGTACTAATTGAATAAAAAATCTTGAATAACAGCCTCCAGGCTCTTAGAGCTTTATTTATAAAAATAAACAAAGTTAGATATCCCATGTGACACCATCCACATACTTACATAATATGGTTCTGCCTCCCGTTCAGTTATCTCATCCTGATACAGGGTGAAGCACGTTGGAATTCTTCCAAACCACACATCTCGAAGCACATCTTTGTCATCTGTCATTCTTCCAGTGGTTAAAGCAGTACATATAGGCTAAATTCTTTTTTCAACCAAAGCTAAACTGAAAATAAAATGAGAAACATTAATCAGACCCTTACAAGGATGAATGAAACTGCTCTGAAATCAAGAAAGATTATAGGAAAAACTAAATGCCAAAATCAGTACAAATTCTAAATGCAGATACAATTTGTTTTAAAGGGCTCATAGATGTAACCAGTTCAAAATTACGACAGCCAAAGTGAAACTATAAGATGCATCATTCTCTCAAGCCTTATTTATCTAAAGTGAACCCTTTACTTAAGCCCTCTCCAAAATATCATCCACAATTATTCCTGCCCCATATTTTAACTTCTATTCCAGATAGTTCAGACTCTCCTTCTGGCGAAAACAAAAAACAAAAAAAACTACATCTCTGATCTTAAAAAAAAAATCTTTGGCAAACCTAATCCTATTCTAAATTTCATCCTGCCCATAATTTGGTTTCACCAATATTTCCAATCTTATTTACTGTATTTCTTTTTAAACCCTCTAACAAAACTGGTCCCTTAAAACATTGCTCTCTGCCCTACCACCTCCCTTGACTAGTATGTTCTCTCATCTGTTCAAATCCTACCTGCTCTGAAAATCTAGCTCACAATCCTATGACCCAATGAAACAGTGAAAGTTCTACTCTGAATTCAGAATATTCCCCATACCACAAATACAGCACTACATCTGCAAACAGAAATTTCTGAATATGGTAAAAGGATACAGCTTTTGACCTCTGTAATATCCAAGTGTCTTCCAGCACTAATATTCTACAACTAGGTAACACTACAATATACTGTTTGAGTAACTGCTGAAATAAATACTGCTGGTATCTGACTACTGAGATTCAACAGCCTTCTACATATAAACACACACACACACACACACACACACACACATTCTATCTTTCACAAGCTAGCTAATTTATAATTTATCATACTGTATCCTGTACAATCACTTTAAATAACTGTATTGTTTAGCCAAATATCAACTATTACTACTGAATTATTCAAGGAGTTTTTCCCTCTTCTTGCCCACTGACCAATGCCAAGTACATCAAGAATGCCATAAATTAGTCAGGGAGAGAAAAAAATTCAAATTCAAGTAGAGTCTAAATTTGTTTTGTTTTTTTTTCCTTTATTTTTTATTTATTTATTTTTTTAGAGAGAGGAAAGGAGAGAGAAGACAGAAATATCGATGAGAGAGAACACTGACTGGCTCCCTCCAGCATACCCCCACTGGGGATTTGGTCCACAACCTGGGCATGTGCCCTAAGAATCAAACTGGCGACCTCCTGGTGCATGGGTCGACGCTCGACCACTGAGCCACACCAGCCAGGCTACGGTTCTAAATTTGTATCACTATACTTAAGTATACCTTGGAGGTCAATTGGATGCAATGTCACCTACAGGTAAATAAACTGAAAGAGGTGAAAAAAATCTGCCCAACAAGAGCACTAATGAACACTCAAACCATAAGAACTCTGCTCACTTGAACTGAGCCCAGTGCTCTTTCCAGCATACCAGTGTTTTAACTTTTATGAAAATATATCCATTAACAAAACTGAACTCTTGAGAGGCGGTATGATGTGGAGGCTCAAAATGTAGAATATGAAACCAAATCACTGGGACTCAAAACCTAGCTCCACCACTTACTATGTGACCTCAACTAAGTCACTTAACTTCTCTCTGTTTTCTCATCTATAAAATAAAAATTGCAGTGCTTACCACATAAAATATATAAAAATTACATTAATACATATAAAGTACTTGGACCAATGCCTATACATAGTTCTATAAAGTATATCTATCATAATTTACAGATCCAACAAGAGCATATCTCAAAAAAATGTTTAAAAGTCCTAAAGACTCCAAGAACTAAGAATAATAAAAAGCATTATATAATATAAGCAGGAATTATAAAAGTAAAGGAAAATAACTAAAAATTATGCATTGAACATTGATAATAATCTTCAATATAAAGTCAATAAATATTTGATCATTTGATATGCCCAGCTTTGTGGCAGATGCCAAGGGCATATAAGATGATAATGATGGTGATAATAACAACTTTTTTAAAACCTTAGGCATTGCCCAGAAGGTAATACATCTAAATATACTAAACATACAATGCACTTTCATGTCCTTTCCATGGCTCTGCTCATGCTGGTGGTTACTTATCCTAATGTAGCCTTCTCCACTGTTTCTTTCCAACTTAGACATCCTTCAGTACCCAGCTCAAATACCCTTTCCATGCATGACTCAGGTAGAACCTGTTTCCTCACTGCACCTTTCTTTTCCTCTATTACAGCACTTATAAGCTTATAGTAAAGATTTTTTGTCTCTGATTCCTAATGTCATATTCTTTCCATCACACCATACTGATTGCCAACATGTTTTCCAATCCCACAATGTCCAAGGTTATAAATGAAATGTTACTTTCAGAGAGTTTTCATAAAAAAGGAGGGAGGGGAAGTAAAATATTAATGTATTAATATTAATATAGTGTTCAGGGAAGAGTTTTAAAAGACACGGAAATTGACAAATGGGTAGAATATGGACAGGCAAAGAGAAGAAGAAAAATATTCTAGGCAGACAAACTGGCATCGACAAAGGCAGCAAATGAGCAGAAGCAGTACATGTGCAAACATTTTTGGAAGCTCTAGGTTGGGAGAAGTAGACTTAAAAAAGTTGACATTGTGAAACGTCTTAATATCACACAAAGGTCCTGGGCAAGTCAATTCACTTCACTAAGTCTCAATTTCCTTACCTGTAAAATTCATCAAGCTATTCTTGGGGGCTGGGGGAGACTACAGTGTTTGACACAGTACTGAACACATATGAAGTACTGAGAAATAAATTACTATTCTTTTAATGTCAAATCTATGAATGTAAACTGAGACTAGATCATGAAGGATACTAAATGGAATACTGTGGGTTCTCAATTTCATCCAGTAAGTGTAGAGAGTCTGCATAGTTTTATAATGAAATAAAAACAACTAACTGGTAGCAGTGCACAAAAGGAGATCCCAAGTCAGAGAAAATATAACCAGGATGCAATTTTAGCAGCTAGGGCATATAATAATGAGTGCCTAACTTAGAATGGTAGCAGTGGAATGAGAGACAGATATGAGGTCTTTCCAAGAAAGAACAGAAGTTGGTGAAAAACTGGCTGAGGAACAAAGTACAGGACAGAAGAGATTTGATTGCTGAAAGCAGGCTATAAAGGTAGGTAGGTTAAGGGGTTTTGATATCAGATTAACATGGGTTTAAACCCTGACTTCCATCTATAAGCTGTGTGGTCCTTGGACAACAAATCTGACATCTCTGAACTTCATATCTGTAAATGGAAGATAATTCTAATTTCAGAGAGCTCTTAGTGTTTAGCATCTGGTTGCCACTTAATAAATGGTATATGTATTTAATATATGGTTTCTTTGTGCTTCCATGGCCCCTCTGCTTGAACATCCTTTCCCTCTTCTTTTGCCAAACTCTCAATCCTCTTTTAAGAGTCGGTTTAACACCAGCTCCTTGGGAAGCTTTCAGCTAAGCAACTTCTAATCTAATTACTTCTATAATAGCATGTTATAACCATGCATTGCAGATATGTTTATCTTATCTGTCTCTTGCCTCTCCTTATACTGAACTGAGAGTTCCCTGACAGCAGAAACTAGATACCTTTTTATTCACAATATTAGCATAATTAGCACATAGCAGGCTCTGGAATTTTTGTTGAACTGGAAAATATAGAGAAATATATAAAAATAAAGTTATACTAGCTACTTCAAAAGCTTTTCCAGTCCAGGTGTGGCTCAGTGGTTGAGGGTCGACCCATGCACCAAGAGGTTGCCGGTTCAATTCCCAGTCAGAACACATGCCCAGGTTGTGGACCTGATCCCCAGTGATGGGCATGCAGGAGGTAGTCAATCAATGTTCTCTCTCATTGATGTTTCTCTCTCTCCTTCTCCCTTTCTCTCTTCCTAAAAAAAAAAAAAAAAAATCAATAAAGGAAAAATAAATGTTTTTTAATTAAAAAATTTTCCAAACCAGTACAATTACACTTTTATTCTTCCACTGTCCTATAGCACCATTTCATATCACAGCTCTCCTCAAATTTTCACATCTACTTTCACCCAGCTCAGGCCCTGGTTTGTATTTCCTTCTACATTGTATCTAAATATCAGTGATTCTAAACAAGGGTTTTAATGAACAGTCCCACCCTACCCTGGAGGAGTAGTAAAAAAAAAAAAAAAAAACTCACCTACTCCAAAAGTGGAAGGCCCCGAGGCTCAGTTCTTAAACCACCCCTTTGGAGCTCTCCCATGACTTTAAATGACACTTATACATGAACAATTCCCACATTTATATTTTGAACTCCAGTTTCGTTAACAGCTACTGCATATTGACATTTCATTTGAAAATGTAGCATGTTGCAAAACTTAATGATTTCAGATCTTCCTCCTTCCCCTCCCTATTTACTCTGTGGTCTTCCTGAAATTACTTAGTGCTAACTCTATTCTTTAGTGATCAGGCTCTAAATTTTGGGGTCATCCTTGACCCCTCTTCACATCTGATGACTCTAGCTTAGACACTAGTCAAAAAAAAACACACAAAAAAAACTCTGCATTTCTCACCACCTCCACTATTACCACCAATCCAAGTCACCATGACCTTTAACCTGGAAATATGCAACAGCCTACAAATAGGTCTCATTTCTGCCCTGCTGTAAACAGACAACATAACAATCAGAAAGATCCTTTTAAACACAAGTAAGATCAGTTTACTCTTTATTCAAAGCTCTTACAAGTCCTACAAGGCTATACAGGACCTGACCCAATTCTGACTTGATTCTTTACTTCTCTCCCCACTTGTTCACTCAGTTCCAGCCAAACTAGCTGGAATACTCCAGCCTTTGTGGCTGCTCTAATGGCTCTTTCCATTACATTCATAGGCACACTTCTTTATCACTTTTAGGTCTCTGCTCAAATATCACCTCTTCTAAGGCTACCACTGCAATTTCCCATGCATGCCACCAGCATTCCCTTTCATTGCTTTATATTTTTTTTCTCTAGCACTTCCCACCACCTGATACACATATTTTAATTAATGTTTATGTTATCTTCCCTCCTACCCCCAAGGTGAACTTCATGATGGCAGGGATTTTTATTGTTTTGTTTACTTTTTGCTTAGTGCCTGTTACATAACAGGCACTCCATATTTGTTAAATTAATAAAGCTGACCAACACCTGAAGTGTATGCATTATTCTAAAAACTTCTATCCATCTAATACCATTTTGTTCATTTTACCCAATTTTAACATGGAACATTTTTGAGGATCAAAGCACAAACTTAAATCTAGTGCAAAATGCTAAAATTCCCCTCCAATACTACCCTCAGCCCAACATCTTTACTTTCAAATTCAACCAATAAGTCCTTCTATGGAAATCACAAATAATTCAGTTCAAAGTACCCACAGTCCCCAAAACTCTGAGATTTATCAAGTGAATTCTGAAAGGCCTTGGAAGTTCAGTGCTGTATGATGGTCTCTGGATTAGGACTCTTGCTGAAGACCTGCTGTGCCTTCCCATCCCTCAGAAAAATCTGGAACCAATCCAGTTTCCCTCGGTCCCTCAAGTTCTTCATGTATGATTCGAAAATAATCCTAAGTATAATTAAAGTACGTGAAAATACTTTGCCAACAGAAAATGGCTTTGTTAGCACTAAACATTATTAAAATGAGACTGAATAAATGCCGTTGAAAAAATAAATGGGAGGAAATACCGAATTCGGACAGAATTGAACTGCCTGTGAAATAAATGATTTAAATAACTGTTCCACGAAAAGTGCAGGTTTTGAACTAAACTCTAGAGCCTGGGCTTCCTACCTTAGTAAGGCACAGCCGTATTCCCCGAGAGAGACCGCACACACTACACCCTCCGGCCACCCGCGGGATCCGGGGGCGACGTCTGGCCAGCCCCACCTCCCCCGGAGGAGCCACCCTTCCCCGCCACCGCCGCCCGGGGGAGCGTTCCTCTAGCCTGCCATTCGCCCCTCCTTCTTACCACACCTACCTGGCATCTCCCTACCCTCCTCCTTCGGGCATTTCCTCATTCTGGGGGTGGGGGTGGGGGTGACACACACACACACCCTACCAGAAGCGCCGGCTCCTCCTCTGGCTTCCCGCACCGGTGAGGATGATGGGGTCCCCAGCTCTGGCCCGGCGGCGGCGCAGGATGCTTGACACACAGCCCCGCAGAGGCGCGAGCCAGGAGTCCCCGGAGCCCGCGCAGCTGCTGAAGGCACCGGCGAGGTGGTCGGAGCCGAGCCCCGCTGCACTTCCGCCCTCCGAGATCCAGCAAATAACAACCCGCAGCGCCGCAGAGCCCTGGAAGCCCACCCCAAGTCCAGTTACCCTCGGCGCCCGGAGATGACGTCACGAGACCCCACGTGGCCCGCACTCCGCCCTCCGAGTTCGACCCAGCCCCGGGAGGAGGCCGGAGCCGCGCTTGAGCATGCGCGGACGCAGCGGAGCGCAGGAGTGTGGGGGCAAAGCCCTGGCGAGTTCACAGCTTGTGCCTCAGAGTCTCTCCCCTTTGGCGTTGTCATCGCCATTTGGGGAGGTTAATGTAACAGTTCTGTAAGAGCAGAGAGTTTTGGAGCTTGATTGCAGCATCCCTTTCCTGCCTTCGCCGAAGAATTTTAATAAAACGTTGGTTTACAAAGTGTTTTTATATCTGTTTTCTCATTGTTCTAAACTATGACAGAGCCACAGCAGAGATAAATAGCCGCATTTAACAGACTAAAATACGTGAGTACTGAAGTCTTCCCATCCATCCAATAGTATCTAAATTCCTGTTTGTGAAAACAGGCAATTAGTAAACTTAACTCCTAAAGAGTGAATTAGATCTATCCAGAAGCCTTACTGGGCATTTAATGGTTTTCCCTTCATTAAGCTTGCCATACAACGTAAAGCTATGGCTAGGTAAATACAGTGCTGAGACTCAAAACAGCTTCCTGATGATTGGAAAGATTAGAGAAATCCTAGTTGTAGCCATAGGATTCTTTTTAAAAAACTACTCTTCTTGGAGGTTGACTAGTCCAATAATTTTCAAATGGCAAATCACAACCTAATGGTGGTGGGTCATCAAATCAAGTTAGGAGGTCATGATTAGCACTTTAAAAATTTGTTTTTAATTAATTTTTTTTTTGAGAGAGAAAGAGAAACATCAATTTGTTGATCCACTTATGTTTTTTATAAAGTGCCCAACTTTATTTTTTATTTTTTTAATTATTTTGTCAATCCTCACCAGAGGACACTTTTCCATTAATTTCCAGAGGGGGGAGGGCCAGCATCCAGGTGAGAGAGACACTTCTGTTGGATTGGTTACTTCCCACACAACCCGGCCCAAAACCAGGGATCTAGTCTGCAACCCAGGTACAAACCCTTGACCAGGAAATTGAACCCACAACCCTTGGTCCACAGGCCAACACTCTAACTGCTGAGCCAAATGGGCCAGGGCTTGATCCACTTATTTATGCATTCATTGATTGCTTCTTGTATGTGCTCTGACCGGGGACCAAACCTGAAACCTTGGCTTATTAGGAAGATGCTCTAACCAATTGAGCTACCTGGCCAGGGCCATGACTAGCACTTTTTAAAATAAATAAAATATAAAATATTGGCATGCTTCACTCATGTTAAGGGTAAAAAAATGTTTCCTGAAGTTATTATTTAAGTATGTAAGTGGTACACACTTGTTAGGAGTGTGAAATAAATTTCTTGGTGTGGGTAGCAGTCAAAAGTTTGAAAAATAGTTTGGTCCACTCTACTGACTCAATGCAGAATTCCCCTCTACAGCATCCCCAACGCGTAGCCATTAGCCTCTGTAAAAAAGCTCTTGGGATTAACATGCCCTAGATTTCCAAAGATATCCCAAATTATATGGAATTTACTCTGAAATGTATCCTAAAAATTAGATGGATTGATGGATGGATAGATAGATAAATATGTGATAATACAAGTACAGTAAAATGTTAATGGTAGAATCGAGGTGGTGAGTATATGGGCATTCGCTGTAAAATGCTTTCTACTTTGCTGTACTGTATGTTTGAAAATTTTTCTAATTAAATGTTGGGAGGAAACTATGTATGGAGAACCTAATAGGAAGAACATGATTATATTGAACTGAAATCCAGCTTCATGTGACTTTTAAGAACTGACCTCATTCTCTTCCTTCCTCCCCTTGTTCCTGTCCCACCCTGTGACTAGAACGTACAATAGAAATATTTAACCTCAATTCTAATAGACAGTACTTCATATATGAAAAGTAGTTCTCATGCCCCATAACCCACTCAGGGATAAGCACTGTCAGCTTTTTTCAGCCATTCCTCACATTACATCTCTTCTCTGGATATGGTCGAGTTTTAAATAGTTGTACTCTTGCCCGTCTCATGATTATGCTCCTACAGCAAAACTTTGGAAATAAGAATTCTATATTTGTTCTCTGTCATTTCCAATTGTTAACATTATTTTTTCTCAATCAATGGCACTGCATATTTTCAATTTTTTTTTAAATGAAAATAACTTTTAAAGAGTTCTTTTACATTGGATTTACCATTTCCCCCAAGCTGTAACTCATTCTGGGGTACTCTCGGGCAGCTGTTTGACTTGTATGAACTTGCGTATAAAGTCCTCCTTTCACCAAAATTCTGGATTCAAAGGAAAGACTCCAGAAAAGTCTCTGTTAATAATATGCTTTCTTCTCAGTGTAAGTTTGCAGTTTCGTATGCTTCACAACCTGTAAGACTCAAAGCCATGGGAACTATAACATTTTTTTGCTCTAAATTTATTTAAATCTGCTTTCCTAAACTCTGTGTCTCTATCACCCCCATGAAGTCTAAAATGCCATTACCTCCTGGCCCTTACTCTCCCATCCACTCTCTTATCTCCAATCTGCTGGTTTTAGAGGATGAGTTAGTTAAATCAAATGTAACTCTACTACATCAGCTCTAGCTCCTCTGACTGCACTCTAAACCAGTAGGATGACCTCCTAACTGGTCTTCTTGCCCCAGTCTTGCTCCACTTGCCCCAGGCGCTGTCTATATTTGACTTCAATGTCAATCACAGTGGATTAGCTAAAATGCACTCTAACCATGTCACTCTGACACTTTCAACCTTTTAGTGATTCCTTCTGGGAAAATTCCTAGTTTCTTAGCATAATCAACCGGTTTCTTCCTTCTAAAGCCTCATTTCCCGGTACTCCTGCCTTACACTTTGAACAGCAATAGTAGAAAACGTTTTGTAGTTCTGTGCACTCAGGCTGTGTCGCTTCTATGCCGTTGCTCCTACTCTCCTTGCTGCCTAACATGCCCACCAGACCCATCACTACAATCCTTCTTCCTCATTTGACATATACCACTCATTCTTCATGACTCATTTCAGGTGTTGGAATGTTTGCCCGGATCCAACCCATTTGGGTTAGGTGCTCTTCATAGCTCCCTCAATCATTTGTTGAATCCCCCATGCCAGCGCAATGTCTGGGATTCAGTAAATGTTGAAATAAACTAAACTGAACATTAGCTTTCTTCTATGGTTCCTAAGACTTTCACTTTATGAACCAAATTCTTCCTCATAGCTTAGAGTTTAAGTAGAAAGTAGTGGTTTCCTTTCCTACTTCATCAATTTCAGAGTTATCAGCAAGGGAAGTTGAAAGTCATTGAGGTAACTACCATTAGCAGGGTGGGAGTCCCACAGTCGCCTGCCTGGCAGTCAAGGATCTCCACCACTACTACATTCTGTCTCCAAGCCAGTTTTGTGATCTGCACGGGGAAGGCATTGTTGCTTCTTCCATCTGGCTGCGCACTCTGCATTGTATTCCCAGACCACAACCACATTTCTGTTCTTCTATCCTTTTATTCTTACTGAAATTACTCCTCTCACATAATTCCATTCTAGAATGGAAACTCCTAGGAAGCAAGGATAAATTTCTATATATAAGAGGCTGTAAACTGGAGTTCTACCAGGCCAGAACTGGACTGTTGGAATGACACTGTAATGCACTTGAACCTACTTTGGCATACACACTGTGATATTAGGCACATACTAGTTTAAGCTTCAGTTCTGGTTGCCCAGACTGAGAATTCCATGCTCCAGACGTGATCAGGTACCAGCATCAGAAAGACCACACTCCAGAAGCAGCTATCACAAGGATGTATATTATCACTATCTTGATCCACACCACATGGTTTGCTAGTTAGCGTAGCAAATGTCAGGAATTGGTTTTTATTTTTTGGCTTGCTCTAACGTATGATAACTGTTAGAAATGGGATTTAATTTGTGAAATTATCAGTACAATATTTAAGATATGTGGATTGAATAAAACATTTTAGAAATTCTTGCCACCCTTGATGAGTAGAGTAGAGGAATTCATGAAGCCTGCAACTCAATCCCTAAATTTTCTTGTGTTCTATAAGTGTTATAGAATTCAGCCTCAGGAATGGTGTTACATCTGCTTTAAGAGAACTTTTCTTGCAAGAAGGTAGTGAGAGCACCTTTTAAGGGCAGAGGGTCGGGGGTCTTATCAAGCTTACATAAGAGGTTGGATGAACTGTTTTGTTTGATAAATGTCTATGTGCATCAGAATTTGGTTTGAGGTTGGCTTCCATTATAATCTCATATCCAGATTATGGGGAAGTAATTAATCCTCACTCACCTCAATTTCTTTGTGGCTGTGGCTATCTATTGAAAAGACCCTGAGAGTTAGACCTGACGAAATTAGTCTTGGTGAGTTATCAAAATTGGTGGGTATACAGTTGATCCTTTTATAATACAAGGGTTAGGGGTGCCAACCCTTGTGCAGTTGAGAATCTGCATATAACTTTTGACTTCCCTCAAAACTTAACTGTTAATAGCCTACTATTGACTGGAAGCCTTGTAGAAAACATAAACAGTTCATTAACACATATTTTGTATGTTAAATGTAGTATATGCTGTATTCTTACAATAAATAAAGTACGCTAGAGAAAAGAAAATGTTAAGAAAATCATAAGGTAAATAAAATACATTTAGAATATTTGTTGAAAAAATCCACATATAAATAGACCCAAAGTTCCAACCTGTATCATTCAAGGGTCAACTGTATTCTCTTTGCTCCTTAAAATATTTTTAAAACTCTTTAAAAAAATGTAATGGTAACAGATTTCACAAAATTTAGATTTCTGGCTTATGCTGAGAGTCTGACAATCTTGGGCTCACAAGACCACCTGGCACTGGAGTGGAGCAGCCACTGCCTGTTTATGTTGGGCATGCCCTATACCTTACTGCTGTCCCCACACGATCACTTATTTGGACATAAAATTACTTGCCTGGACACTAGAGGTATTGGACTTAACACTCCTGTATAG